GTGGAGACCCCATCATTCTGGACTCTTAACGGGATGCGCCATCATCATTGCAGGAATGTCATCTGTATGATGTAGGTAACTGTTTCCAGTTCAGGTTTCTGTGATGCTGCGAAGAGCTCTTTGAGCCCAGTGGAAACCAGTTTGTACATAGTTTTTCTGATCTCGGATTCCTGCACTTACAAGGGTGGGTTAAGTGATCTGTATTTTTAGCTTGTGATACAGAAGTCCTGACCTTTCAAAAAATTTCTGATTGCTATTGTTCCCTTCCTGGGTTTCTAGAGCAAAATCCACTGAGGCCCTGGGCCAAGTGCCCTAAGGAAAAAAGCTGCTGCTTCTGCCTGTCACTGCTGGGCATGTGTTCTCTGCCCTCCCTCTTCCCTGCCAAAATGAAATACCTGCTTTCTTCTCTGCTGAATATTTGAAGAAAAACAACAACAAAAAAAATCTCAAAATATTTAATGCAACATCTGGGAAGAAAGATGACCTGGCTGCTCATCCCCAGGGCAGGGTGTTTCAGCAGCTACAAGTCATTGCTGAATGCAGGCTGCGCGGCAGGAGCCAGCCAGCAGCAGCCCCTGGAGACGGGCAGCGAACAGCAGCATGTTCCCTGTCTTTTACTGGAGGTGCACTCGCAAGCAGAGTGGCCAAAAATGCTTTCAGGTGGAATTATTTCTTGGGGTACTTGAAGAGCCTGCCTGTTTGCCATCCCTGTCTTGTCAGTCCTTGGTATCTGAGGAACTGCCGTGTAACGAGGCTGTTGCTTGCCTTTTTTTCCTCATATGCTGTATTTTGGTGCGTGTATTTCACATAGACTCAAATGTGGGCTGACTAAGGATAAGGCCATTGCTCCTTAGACCTCTTTCCTGGACTCTCTGCTCCCTTGGAAAGACTCACGAGCATGAAGGAGGAATGATATTTGCTGGAGTTTGGTTTTTACCTAGATGTCTTTTAAGCATTTTGAAACTCTAGGCTTGCAGCAGTGTAACACAGCGATGGTTCAGCTTGCAGCAAGGGCGCGTTCTGCAGGACTGCTGCCTGAATACCAATAAGGGAGTGCACTGAACCTCTGTGCTAGTAGGCTCATTTCCCTCTATTTTTCCTTAAGTCCTAATAGTGCCTGCTGGTATGCTTTGCTTTTGGTGGAGCTGCACTGGGTTAATGTCTACCTGGTGATAGGAGAAGGCTTGAATCTGAGCAGACTTGCTGAAGTAGCATTAGTTTGGGTGTCTGGTACCAACTCCTCAGAGTTTAGGGATGGGGTGTTTGGTGTGGGCTTGCAGGCACCCCTGAGTGCTTGGAGTCCCTCGTAGCTCTTCCCATTGGAATCTGGGGTGTTACATAGCTGGGTGCCTCTCAGGGCTCAGTTTTGGGCCCAGTTCTGTTTAACATGTTTATCAGTGACCTGGACAAGGGGATCCAGGGCACCCTCAGTCACTTTGCAGATGGCACCAAATTGGGTGGGAGTGTCGATCTGCTGGAGGGGAGGAGGGCTCTGCAGAGGGACCTGGCCAGGATGGATCCATGGGCCCAGGCCAACAAGGCCAAGGGCCGGGTCCTGCGCTGGGGTCACAACAACCCCACGCAACGCTACAGGCGTGGGGAAGAGTGGCTGGAAAGCTGCCCGGCGGAAAAGGACCTGGGGGTGTTGGTCGACAGGCGGCTGAATAGGAGCCAGCAGTGTGCCCAGGTGGCCAAGAGGGCCAAGCTTGTACCACGGAGGGTGGGGCCAGCAGGAGCAGGGCATTGACCGTGCCCCTGTGCTGGGCACTGGTGAGGCCGCTCCTCGAATGCTGGGCTCAGGGTTGGGCCCCTCACTCCCCGAAGGACATGGATGTCTTCCTTCTTACCCCACAAGCCATCTCACAGGGAACAGGCGATAGGATGATGGAAAACGGCCTCAAGTTGTGCCAGGGCAGGTTTAGGTTGGACATAGGGAAAAATTTCTTCCCTGAAAGGGCTGTCAAGCACTGGAAGGGGCTTCCCAGGGAAGGGGTCGAGTCCCCACCCCTGGGGGGATTTAAAAGCCGGGCAGAGGAGGGGCTTAGGA